TCCTTCCCCCTCACCATCTCTCCAAAAGCATGATAGAAAGCATCAGACAGACTTTGCAGTGGCAAAGATATCATCTGGGAATTTCTTACCTTCCTGTGGGTTCCTTGGAATTTCAGTGCCTGTTTCGCAGCAGCTGCCTGGTATGATCTGCTGGGTAAAGCTGTCACCTCAGTTTTGAGAGAGAGGGTCCAGATGTGTCATACTGCAGCGTGGGGCTCGTTGGACACTCTTTAAAAAGCCACGGTCTCCTCAGCGTGCTACCCAACAGCCAGCCAATCACTGTGCTGGGGAAACATCTCGCTGCTTGCGTGTGGTCACTTCGATTTGAACCACTTCCCCCTTCCCTCTTTGTACAGATCCCATCACTGTAATGCTTCTCAACGTGTTCTCTTTCACTACTTCTCCCTTCTTCAGCCAGACTCACGATACAAAGCAAGCCAGAAGTGTCTGGGCAAAACAAGAGCTTGCCCCTTGCACTGATGCTTCGTTTCCTGCTCTTTTCCCCAAGATGCTCTGGTTTCAGGATGCCTTATGGTACTCGGGGTCACATAGACTGAGGAGTTGTCAGTCCTCTTCTGTAACGCCTGCTGATGATTTCACAACCTCCCTCGTCACAACTTCTCATTCTCCAAGAACCTATTGTCCCTGTCAGGCTGGAATCAACACACCCATCACCACAGAGTGTCCTCTTCTGACTCACAGCCTCTCCCCACACAAGTTACCACTTAGTCCCTACTGCTTCACACAGCCTCTTGACGGTCTTAAAGGTCTTTTCCAACCTAAACAATTCCATGATTCCCAGAGGAGGGTCCACCCAACTTCCACAAGCACACCTCAGCAGCTACAATCACACAACTCCTGCTTCTGCTGCCTTCAATACCACAGAACTTCAGCCCCCACAGTATCACCTGCCACTTCATGCTGCCTTTTAGCCCAGTCCTTCACCACACCTCAGGCACTTCCGATTTCACAAAATTTCTCTAGCCTCGTGCCTTCCATTTCCAGTTTCACAACTTCCCCCCAAACACTGCCTCAGCCCCCTCCTGCCCACCATTCAGTTCACAGCTCTTCACAACAGCCCCTCACCATCATTCTCTCCCAGTTCACAGCTCTTCACCACGTCACAACAGCCCCTCACCATCATTCTCTACCCACCCAGCCCACCTCGCTCATCTTCTCACCAGGCACAATCACTCCATGTGCATCATCTACCACCACCACCATGCTGGCATCCACGTGCCAAAGTCAGTGGAGAAAACACCCTTCTCCTTGTTGGCAGTAAGCACATCCTTACAGGGAACTATTTTGCAACAGGAGATACCAGCAACTCTTAATCTGGGTGAGATCTTGACCTGGGCTTGTGTTTAAGTCGTTTCTGCTAGTCCATTTGGCTGAGGAAACAACAGGAGATGAGTATGACATTGGCCAAACTGTTGTCATCTGTGTCCATGGGTACAGAAACTGGCAGATCTGGCCCAAAAGGCTTAATGGAACAGATCCCTGATGATTCATCTTTAACTTCTTCTGTCATTTGTTGTTCCTCTTCCTTTCACAAAGATTATAAGACTGTTTTTACTTTCTTATCCAATATTCTGTTTCCTGTGGTGGCTACTGTTCATCCTTATCAACCCAGCCAGGACTCCAGGCTATAATGTAAAATGTTATTGAAGTTAGAGGGCTTTTTTTCACCCAGAGCACTATTTAACCTCCTCACCAATTTGGGGATGTCCATTTTCACTGGTGAGGCATTGGAACAGTCTGCCCAAGGAGGTGGTGGAGTCCCCACCCCTAGAAGGGTTTATAAAACATGTAGATGTGGCATTTTGGGACATGTGGTCATAGTAGTGTTGGGCTGACAGTTGGACTTGATGATCTTAGAGGCCTTTTCCACCCTTAAAGGTTCTATGATAGCTGGCACTCTACATCAGAAGATGGTTAAATTACCTCAGTTATTATTGGGCCATTCTAAACTTCAAGAAAGGTCAAAAAACCAAAGCAATGGGCAGTGGATGAATCTACTTATTGACACCAATAAATCAGAAGCTAAACATACACAGCAGACTTCAGAGCAGAGAAGAATTTGAGTTGAGCTGACACATGAATTGATATGTGTTTGCTTTATTCTCCTTCATTTCACAGATTCACCTTTGGCTGCAGAAGTTTTGAGTTAAGAAAGATGAGGATCTTCTTGGACAGCTCCATTGCATAGAATCGTAGGATGATTTGGGCTGGAGGTGACCTGCCAGAGGCAAGGACATCTTTCAGTAGATCAGGTTGATCCAAGCTCCATCCAACCTGACCTTGAACACCTCCAATGGTGAGGCACCCACAGCTTCTCTGGGCAACCTGTTCCAGCGTCTCACCTCATTTGTCATAAAAAATTTCTCCAGTATGTCCCCATCTAAATTTACTCTCTTTAGTCTTTCTTCATAGGAGAGCCCTCAGATCATTTTCATGGCCCTCCTCTGGACCCATTCTGTCCACAGGACAGCCTAGAGTGACAGGGACTCAATTCAGCTGACTTCCAGCAGCCTAAAAGAGCTGACTTCCTTCCTCAGTTTCCCCATTTGAAGGATTTTTTAACTTATTTTGTCATTTGCTGACATTTGCTAAAACTTTTTTACAAGACCCTTTATTCACTGGGTTGCCAAGGATGAGATTTTGGGCAAAATAGGACTTGAAGGGCCATCAAAAGGTAACCCAGGCCATTTTCTGAGATGCCTTCTCAGTATCCTTATCACTGACTGACAGATAGTTCTTTAATATGCATTTGCTCAAACTTTTCAGTCAGGACAGAATGAATTTCTCCTCCTTTGCCCCTTCCTTTCATGCCTTCCCTTCACTCCACGCCTCCCTCCTCGGGCCCCAAGAGCCCTTGAGGTGGGAGATTTCCTTGGGGAGAGTTACAGAGTGCTACTTAAACAGTTTTCTTCTCAGCCTTCTTTCTGTTGCTGGGTGAATGCATCACTTGGGGTGCACACAGGCCAGGTCCCACTCTCCTGCCAGCCCATCAGAGCAGTTCTCACCTCGCCAGAAAATACCAAGATAAAAAAAAATGCAGTACAAGGCACCTCCTAAACAAAGGTTGGAAGCTTTCCAGAAGCTCTTCTATGCTCTTTGAAGTCTGCTCTAACACACTCCTAACAGGGAAAGCAGATGTTGGGGAGCTGAAATCCTCCAGACCTGACCCAAAAAAACAGATCTCCAAACACAGAGGTAAGTTTTCTAGGTTCTCTGGATCCTTTATCTTCTTGTTTTGCCTGTTTCCTTTCTCCGTTTCTTTTCCTGATTTCCTTTCCTCTTTTGTTTCCCTTCTTCTTGAATAAATGTGAAAATACAGACAGAGATTTCCACTGAAGTGATGAACTGTCTGTGGCTGGAATCACACATGGAGCTAATTCTATGGTCACAGATTGAGTTATTTTATTATTTTGTTTTCCATTACCACCAGAGATTTTAGGGAAGAACACTTGCAATGAGGAGATGCTGCCCTTTCTCATCCTTTTTGAAACGTTAGCAGCCCACACTGTATTTATTATAGTTTGCAGTTGGTTGCATTATCTCACAGACCTCTAGTCTGTCCCTAAAAAGACACTTTCAGAGGGAAGACACAACATGGGGATCCTGTACTTAATTTTGACATTCTAGTTGTCCTCTTAGAGTCAACAAAAAAGCAACAGGCACCTCCAACACGTAGAGGGAGAAGAAAAAGGCAGAAAGAAGAGTGCACATGGCTGGCTCAGATGTAGGTGAGCTGGCAGCTAGCTCCTGCTCTCTACTGCCCAGCCATAAATACAAACTCATCTCATCCTTTTCTTTTCTGTAGAAAACTATGTCAGTGCACAGGGAAAAGAGGAGGGATGGAAAGCATCACAACTTGCTAAGACCAGGTAGAAATCAATAACACATTGATTTATTTTTTTTCCTCTCAGAGATATACCAGAAAAGGAATTGCCTACGTAAGTCTTACCCTCTTCTTGAATAACTTCTACCTCCTGTTGGTACATCTGTAAGCACAGGAAAAGTCCCTGACTTTCCCAACTTCCTCTCTAGGCTGTACTTTGTGGGTTCAAGAGCAATTTTGGGTTTTCTCCATTTCAGTATTTCCTGTGGATGCTCGATCAGTTATTTTTGCCTGCACAAGAGTTTCTGATTTTGCTGTCGTTATGGATAGGTGCTGGATTGACTGAATGATTCCAGTGATCTGTTCAGATCACCTGCACACACAGGGAGAACTGCTTGTGCTCCACTGGGCAGGGCTTTCAATGCCAAGTCTTGACTGGGGATATTTTGACCCTAGGATAAATCCTCTACAGCTGATAATTTGTTTCTGAGAGGTGCTTATTTTTGGTTAAGCTCTATAAACCAGAGTTTAATCCAGTGGTTTCCAGGCTTTGACCAAAGGAACTTTGATATCTGGGTGCATGATGGCAAATTGGTAACATTAAGGACTAAGTCTTTTTAAAGATGAAGATTATTTGTTTGCAGTGACATCTACTGCTCTGGGGGCTGGAACAGGCCAAGTCAAAGAGGCCCCACAGTGACACTGGAAGGTGACCATGTCTGAAGAGAGAAACTGTAGAGGTGTAAAAATGCCCAGAGTTCAACCATAGCATGAAAAAAAAAAGGGGGGGATGACATCATGGAAAGCTCTGAGCTGCTTTCAGGGGATGAAAAGGTTGATTCTCTGAAGTTAACTTTACTCTGATAGAGTCCTTCACAGTCCTGGAGGACCAGGATAAAGGAACATATCCCAGAGCAGACCTGTCTCAGAGTGGTAAAAGGAATGGCTGAAGCCTCATGAAAGGAGAATTAAATACATATGGGGCTAAGAAAAAACCCCAACAACTTCATAAACTTAATACTAATCCTATATATTTCTTGGTGTCTATGCTGTTTTGATAAAGAATTCATTTTTAATAATGAAAAGACCTGATGAACCATTTCCCTTTTTTTTCCCCATGTGTCTAGACTCTACACTGAGTATCACTGCCACGCTCATTAACATGGAGAACACAACCAGAGTGAAGGAATTCATTCTTCTGGGCCTCTCAGTGAATGAAGGGGTGGAGAAAATATGTTTTGTGATGTTTCTGTTCTTCTACATGATGATTGTGGCAGGAAATCTGCTCATTGTTATCACTGTAACTAGCAGCCAACGTCTGAACTCCCCCATGTACTTCTTCCTCTGCTACTTGTCCTTTGTGGATATCTGCTACTCTTCTGTCACAGCTCCCAAAATGATTGCTGACTTCCTTGCTGAAAATAAAACCATCTCCTTTGCGGGTTGCATAGCTCAGCTCTTCGGGGTGCATTTCTTTGGTGGCACAGAGATCTACCTCCTCACAGTGATGGCCTACGATCGCTACGTTGCCATCTGCAGACCCCTCCACTACACCACCCTCATGACCAGGCGTGTGTGTGGTTGGATGGTGATTGGCTCGTGGGTAGGAGGCTTTGTGCACTCCATCGTGCAGGCTCTTCTAACCACTCAGCTCCCCTTCTGTGGCCCTAACAAAATTGACCACTACTTCTGTGATGTCCACCCCCTACTACAGCTGGCCTGTACCGACACCTACGCCGTGGGCATCGTTGCCGTTGCCAACAGTGGAATTCCTCTGAGCTGTTTCTTCATCCTGCTCATGTCCTACGTGGTCATTCTGGGTTCCTTGAAGAGTCAGACACCCAAAGGCTGGCGCAGGGCCCTCTCCACTTGTGGGTCCCACATCACCGTGGTGATCCTGTTCTTTGGGCCATGCATATTCATCTACATACGTCCATCCAGCAGTCTGCTGGAGGACAAGGCTGTGGCAGTGTTTTACACCATCATCACACCCGTGCTGAACCCACTCATCTACACGCTGAGAAACGAGGAGGTGAAGAGTGCCATGAGGAAACTGTGGAGCAGGAAAGTGGGAAGGGAAAGCAGGAAGCTGTAGAACTCTGGTGATGCTTCCAAAGGGTCAGAGAAAATCGAGCATCCTTCACTAAATTTCTGTTGTGAAAATTCCACAAGAGCTGCCTTTCAATAGAAGTTTGCTCTGAGCTCCTGCTGGAATGAGGAAGATGCTGAAGGTTCATCCCTTGATTTGAAAGACATTGGGAACTCTGCCACAAGCAGACATTCCCCTCCGAGTCCCTTACCTGCTAGCACAGGTCCAGGCCTGGGGCTCCTGAGCACAAACTGATACACCAGTGTTGAAATAAATACTATCAAAACCCAGTGGAAACGTTGGCCGAGCAGAGCACCCCATTACTCAGGTATAAACTTTCAGATGATCTCCATCTTCTCTTTAATCCATTCAGCTAGGAGAAAGAGGACCATGGTCACCTGCTGCTGGACACAGGGGCCCCTTTCTGCTTGTAGGAAACACCTTTTTATGAGACCCACGTTTTCATACCTTGAATCCATGGGTTAGCAATTAAAAAGCTGATGTTAGGTGCTAGTTGGGTCATTTGTTGATGCAGGTAACATCAGGAGGAAGCTTCTCCCCTTCCCCTGCCAGTGTAAAAAGGAAAGAAAAGTCCTTTCTGTGGTTCAGGGTCAGGTTGGGCAGAGCAGGTTGGTTGCCCACCTTGCTATGAGTAGAAAATGAAGTAGGCATCAGAGGCAGCATTTGGAGGCACAATTTCCTGTCTCAATAGGGGAAAAAAAGGAATTGTTTAGGAAGTGTTCCAGTATGCAGAAGCACTCCTAGCCCAGCAGAGCAGATCTGCACACCCACACAAAGGGAGAAGCGTGTTCCATGGGAAAATGAGGTTGAAAGACCAAACCAATGCAGTGCCAGTCAAAGCTGCAGCAGCCTGAGGACTCCATCTGAGGAGCCACACTGAGACAGGACACCCTAGTCCTGTGCTGCCAGCAGAAAACCACTGAAGTAGAAAACTACTGAGGGAGGGAGGAAAAGATCTGCTTGGTGCCATCCAAAAATAACTAAAGCACTTTTATTTCTCCACTTACATCCCCTATAAACACTCAAACCTGTGTTACACCTTAACCTAACTTAGGTAGGAGTCAAGGTTTCAAGGTCTTCCCAGCCCAAACTATGACTTATACCTTTATATATA